GGGACTCCGCAGCCGTTCTTCACAATCAACCACAGCTTGTAGTCGTTGGATTGGATAAAGATTCTCATCCTCTCCTTCCAATACGAGTAGTTTGTTCCATCGAACAATGGTGGCCTCGTGGTTGATTGTCCCTCGGTCACTCCTGCGTTGAACATTCTTGATGCCATTTGATCTTTTAGTTCCTGAAAAAAATAGCGTATTCAAAGAACTTCCTGCTCCGATACCAATTGTTAGACAAATGTGCAACTCTAGAGGGGGGGTGAATAGAGTTGTTTTCAAGAATGTGCGTTTTTCGCGTGTGTGAAATAATACAATCGCAGGAATAAATAAAGAGAGTAAGGGAAAGAAGAACACCAAGATTTATACTGGTTCACCACCTCGTGGCTAGTCTAGTCCTCCGAGAGACTCTCTCGAAAGTCCTACTAATCTTCAAGCTTCAACGGGTGTTTGAAAAACCAGTACAACTTGAGAACTTGAATCACACAAGCCTCACTTTCTTACAACAACAAGACTTGAGTCACACAAGTCTTAAGAACAACACTCAAAAGAGATTGAGTTTACAACACAAGAATGAAAGCTCACACAATTGAGCAAAGTAGTGTTGAAGAGTTAAAGCTCTATGGATGACAACTTCTTTAGCACTCAAAGAAATTATTTCTAACTCTCAAAACTAATATTTTGATGAGGAAGATGAAGCAAAGGATGAATATAGCTCAAGAATATATTGAACTGCAAGAGATGTGTGTTAAAATGAAGGAGAAAGAGGGATTAAATAGGCTGAAGAAAATAGAACTGTTGGAGCAGGCTGAGAATAGGCACCAGACAAAATTAATCGATTAAAGTGGAGAAATTAATCGATTAGACATCGCTGTCTGAACTAATCGATTAAGGTGAAGAAAAAAATCGATTAATTGGAAAAAAGTCTTCAGCGAAGAATGCAATCTTAATCGATTAAGTTTGATGGAAATATCGATTAGACTGCGCTGTGAAAACTAATCGATTAAATGAATAAGAAAAATCGATTAATAATGAAGGCTTGAGAAATCTGGAACTAGATCTAATCGATTAAATTAGAAAAATTAATCGATTAAAGTGGAAATAATGCGCAAACATAAAGGCCCCAAGCCAAGTGCGATTGGAAGCCTTTGGCTTCTAACTCGTTGTTTGGGACAACGGGAATATCAACGGACGCTCCATCTCCTATTCAATGAATTTGAGTAGGGGAGAGAAAAAGAGTCCAAAAATTATTTTGTGTGTCAAACGATGCACACGAAAAATATTTAAATTATATTTTTCTTATCAAAAAAAATTGTGTAATCTTAAAAAATGTTTTCAAGAAATTTTGACACACTTATTTTGAAACTGACTCAGTAAAATATTTTAGGCAGAGGAAAAGTAATTTTTCAACTCACTCAAAAATAATTATTTTTATCCCTCAAAAATAATTTGTTTGTGCAAAAAAAATATTGTCATCCTTACAAAGATTCCTAGACTTAATTAAAAAATAAAAAAGTCTTCGGAGTCTTCACTTCACTTCAAAAAAATCTGCGTAAGGGTGATCGTCGATTTTTTTATCGCCGTAAACTTCTTGATACCCTTCTTTGCTTTTCTCGATATGAAAATAAATTTTCGATCAGCTTGAAATTAATCATCCTGTTTGTCATTCATCAAAACAGAAAAATATTCCAGAAGAAATAGTAAAGGGGTTTGAACTCATGTCCAACACACTCTTGAGATGCCTAACCAACCGGGAAGCTGAAAGAGTCATTGTGGAAGTCCATGAAGGTGTGTGTGCGGCTCATCAAATGTCTCGCACCCTTTCCCAGCGCATCATACTGTTGGGGTACTACTGGTCAACAATCGTCCAGGATTGTGAGAGGTATGTTCAGAAATGCAGGACATGCCAAGTCTTCTACAAATACCTCGGTAGACCGGCAACCTACTATCACCCCATATCGAATTTCATCCCATTCGCTAGATTCGGGGTTGATATCATTGGAGCATTCCCAATCGCCTAAGGAAGGAAGAAATTTGTGATCGTGGTCATCGATTACTTCACCAAATGGATCGAGGCCGAAACATTGGCCAATATAACCATGAAACAATGCAAGATATTCATTTGGAAGAACATCATCACAAGATTTGGAGCTCCCATGAATCTCATCAACGACAACGGCCCACAATTCTGAAATCCGAGATTCACCGAATACTTGGAGGGCTTCGGGATTAAACACAATCGTTCTTCGGTGGCATATCCCCAAGGAAATGGCCAAGTGGAAAACGCCAACCAAAAGATTGTGGATGGTTTGAAGAAGCGGCTTGGGGAGGCAGAAAACAAGTGGTTGGAAGAGCTTCCACACATCATATGAGCGTTTCGAGTAACATTAGGAGGGCTCATGGGGAAACTCCATTCTCCCTGACCTATGGGTGTGAAGCAAGGCTGCCCATCGAAGCTAAATTCCCAACATTCCGAGAATCAAATTATCAACCCCAGCAAAACGAAGAAGACCATTTAGCCGAACTCAACTTGGTTGAAGAACGAAGGATGGCTGCAGAAGTTAAAATGAGCACTTATCAACAAGTCGTGAAAAAATACCATGACAACAAGGTTGGATCGCGATACTTCCAAGTTTGGGATGAAGTCCTACGGAGGAGAGAAGCTAGTAGGCCGGGAGATGGAGGAAAGCTGTCGAAAAATTGGGAAGGACCCTACCGGGTGAGAGTTATTATTCGCCCGGGAACCTACCGGTTAGAAACTCTGGATGGTATACCGGTAGAAAGCACTTGGAATTCTCATCATCTCCGCAAATTCTACAAATGATTCACTAGAAGAAAAAGGAGTATTAGCTACGGAACAATTATGATGGGTTGATAATGCTCTCATTAAATGTGTTATTTGTACATTTTTTATGAGGGGAAAAAACTCTAGTTACAAGGTTTTACTTTTAGTGACCAGTTTTTTTTTTCATTTTTATTTTTTAAAGTTAGTACTCTCATTATAAATTTAACATATATTTTAATTAGGCCAAACTTCCTCGTGCCTTGGACCATAGGCAAACTTCCTCGTTTCGACTCAGACATGCTGAATCTAGCGAGGACCTTGTCTATGTATGTACTTTGACTGAGACCTAACAACTTCCGTGATCTATCCCTATAGATCCTTATGCCAAGTGCATAACTGGCATCTCCCAAGTCCTTCATAGAGAAACTCTTACACAACCACATTTTGATGGTGGTTAAAGTAGGAATATCGTTTCCTATGAGCAGTATGTCATCAACATACAGAGCAAGGAAGACTACAGCACTCCCACTGACCTTTTTGTATACACAAGATTCATCTGAATTTCTTTCAAAACCAAAGCCGATGACAGTTTCTTGAAAGCGGATGTTCCAACTCCGTGAGGCTTGCTTCAATCCGTAGATTGATCGCTGCAACTTGCATACCTTGGTAGATTCTTCAGGAGCGCAAAACCCTTCAGGTTGTGTCATAAATACATCCTCAAGAAGGTTTCCATTAAGGAAAGCCGTTTTGACGTCCATCTGCCAGATTTCGTAATCGTGGTATGCTGCGATAGCAAGTAAGATCCGAATGGATTTAATCATGACAACTGGAGAAAAAGTTTCGTCATAGTCGATACCATGTATTTGACGATATCCTTTTGCTACCAATCGTGCCTTGAAGGTTTGCACCTTACCATCCATGCCAGTCTTCTTTTTAAAGACCCATTTGCACCCAATGGGTTTGATCCCTTTGGGTGCATCAACCAAAGTCCATACTGGGTTGGTGTACATGGAATCCATTTCGGACTACATGGCTTGACGCCATTCCTCAGCCTCGGGACAACTGATTGCCTCGAGGTAGGTCTCCGGCTCATCCTGGTCGATAAGCATTATGTCACCCTCAAAGGTTAGGAGGAATCCATACCTTTCAGGTTGTGTGCGTAACTGGTTAGACCTATGGGGTTTTTGTGTATCTTGAGCATTTTGAGGTACAACAGTTTGTTCCTCTAGCTCATGTTCCTGAACCGGCGTGGTAGTTTCTTCGTCGTCTCAAATTTCTTCGAGCTCTATCTTTCTCCCAGTAGTTGTGTTGGAGAGAAATTCCTTCTCGAGGAAGACACCATTGCGAGCAACGAATACCTTTTTATCGATAAGGTGATAGAATGAATACCCTCGAGTTTCCTTTGGGTATCCGACAAAGAAACACTTATCAGACTTGCCGTCAAGCTTGCCATTCGTCATAAGACGTTTGACATAAGCCTCACAACCCCAAATCTTTAAGTGTGACAGAACCGGGCATTTGCCCGTCCATAGCTGGTATGGTGTTCCTTCAACCGCCTTGGTTGGAACTCGGTTAAGAGTATATATTACAGTGCTCAGCGCATACCGCCAGAATGATTCTGGTAGAGTCGAATGACCCATCATAGAACGAACCATGTCAAGCAGGGTTCGATTCCTCCTTTCAGAGACACCATTCCATTGTGGAGTCCCAAGAGGTGTGAGTTGGGATAAAATCCCATGCTCTCTAAGATAGTCATCGAACTCACCACTTAAGTATTCTCCACCTCGATCGGATTGTAGTGTTTTAATACTTTTGCCAAGTTGTTTTTCAACTTCATTCCTGAATTCTTTGAACATTTCAAAGGATTCTAACTTGTGTTTCATGAGATACACATAGCCATATCTACTGAGGTCATCAGTAGATGTGATGAAGTATGAATAACTGTAACACCCCAACCCGCGTGACCCGAATACAAGGACCAGCGGATCGGGTTGTCACTAAATTGGTATTCAGACACAATAATTTTCAGAACATTTAAAACATTTAATTCAAAAACAATATTTATAAATCCATCAGAGTAAATCAAAATGGTGCGGAAGCCTTTAATAGTTAAATCAAAATACATCTTTGGGTTCTTGCCCTTAAAAACATAATTAATTCAAATGCAATAATTAAACTAGATAACTCCTCCAGCAAGCATCCATCCATCTTCTCTGCCCTCGCTGCCCTCCAGGATAGTTCCTCATTCATCATTCATGTTACCTACGTGTAGCAAATAGGAAAAAGGGTTACACGCTCAGCATTGAAGCTAAGTGGAACTATCTAACGTTTCGACTACGCACATAGACGAACCCACTAGCTCATAACTTCATACAATATCATGCACACAAGTATACAATATAATATCACATAACAACCATCAAATATATTCATAAGTTGCAAACCATTGCCTTATTCGTCTGTATTTATAACTCATAACTTAAGAGCCAAGCTAAAACCATACTTCCTTATTTACAACCTTATGTTCGGACTTAGAGCCACTACCTACGGCCATGACTCAAGTCTACCTTATTTAATACCTTATGACACAACACAACCTGATGACCAACGAAGGAGTTCTCCGCTGGGTGGGTGGTACCCCTGTCCCCTTCGGAACGACAGTTCTTGGATCCCGTACGTACGTTTTAACCCGCAGCCGTCGGATATCAGATCCGCAGGGCTGATCCTTTGTATTGACATTTATACTTACAATTGTACTAAAGCAGTCCTAGAGTTCCTCTAGGTAACTTAGCCATTTACTTACAACATCTCTACCATTCAGACTTATTCCAACATAAATCTCTATTTCTTATTTACTTCCAAATTACAACATGATTACATTTAATTAATACAAGAGGGGTAACAATGATCAAATAACCAATCATATAACTCAACTAACGGCCTAGTGGCGGGTGTAACCACCTTCCACTTACCGTCATGCAAATCACACAATTTAGAGTAAGAAACGTACCTGGTCGTGCTTGTTCAATCAGTTCCAATATTATCATATATTTTAAATAAATCATAATTCAATTATAAACAAATAAACCACGTAATCAATCATACGAAACTACGAACGTGAATTTCAAATATATATACATAATCTAGCGTTAGATGTGCAAGTTCTGACCTCGATTAGTTTGACCAATTAAATAAAACAAACGGGCGAATAATCTCTGGCGAACATGCGACGGGGCAACAGCAGCGACGGCAACCGTGACTCCCTCTTCCTCTCTGAGGTTTCCAGCGATGCATCGGCCAATCACGGCGGCCAACTTCCGTCTGTTTTTCGTGAGCAGAGCACTGGACGTCGTCGAACAGCCATGAAGTTCGTATATGGCTCCTCTCCCTTCCACGAAGAAGAAACTGATGATGGTGATGAAGAATCGCGGCAGGGAAGACGATTGCAGAAGATGGACGGCAGGGGGTGTATACGAACGTATTTATACAGGTATTAGACCCAATTACAGTTGAATTAGGATTTTGGCTAGTACGGCCCATTAAACATTATAATATTAAATTATTAACTTCTTTTCATTTAATTATTGAACTGTAACGTCTATTTTACTCACCACGCCTTATACGTATATCCAAATTTAACAAATTATATAACGTTGGTCACCATTTCACGAGATCTATCCGAAAATCTAATTTTTATTCAAAACGGATAACTTTACAAATAATTCATATTTTTGAGTAAATAGATTTAATTTTTATTTTTATTAAAATAACGGGTAACTACTAAGCCCGATTTTGGGTCGTTACAATAACCACCTCGTGCAGTTGTGTTGAAAGGCCCGCACACACCACTATGAATGATTGCCAGAAGATCACCAGCTCTTTCAACGTATCCGTTGAAAGGAGATTTGGTCATCTTACCTAATAAACAAGATTCGCATGTGTCATATGATTCAAGATCAAATGACCCCAGCATTCCCGACTGATGTAGCTTGGATATGCGTTTCTCGTTTATATGGCCTGACGAACTGCGTATAGCGGTAAGTCAACAAATAACCGAGTTAGACTCGGGTCGTTCTCTCCAGGAGTGACGAAGGGAATAATTAGTTTTATTATTTATCACAGGTAAATTTATAGTCTAAGAAACGTGAAATAATAAGAAATAAAACGTCTAAAATAAATGATAAAATAACTTGAGGAGTTAAGATCGGAACGCGGACATAACACACAATCAATAATTTAGAACGCGACCCAATTTCCTTAAGGGCAGAGCTCCAAAGGAGATAGGATACTCAATGCAGCACATAAGCGCAAACAATTGGAAGAATTGTTTGGGTTGTGGGTTTATCCCATTACATATGCATACTTGCTCCCTCGCCTTATGCGATTCACGGGAGAAGCAGAGCTCCTTTCGGAGATAGGATTCCCAATTCGTCACTAAAGCGCAACCCTCACAATTATCTTTGTTTATTTATTTCAATTAAAGAGAAAGTGACCAAAAGACTTATAATCGTTATATAATTAACAACCTTAAGTTACTCAATTAAAACACAACTCATGCACAATTTTAAATAAAAGTTCATTGTTAAACTTAGAAACGAGTAAATGATTATTCAATTTATTAGAGAATAAAAGAAAAATGTAAAGTAATTGAAAACTAA